TGGTATACAGCACCATTATCCCAAACTCTTCTTGTGATATGAAACTCCTTCCCAAACTCAATTTGATCTCCTTAAGTTGGGGCTTGGGCTGGTTTGGTTCACTTAGCTATGCATTGTTTTTTTTAATTAAAAAAACTAAGATATTTTTTTTAAAAAAATAATATATGTATAAAGAAATATTTAACAATAGTATGCCTAAATTTCTTACTCAACCCCCTAATTCCCAACATGAAAGAAGGTTTCATTTTACTTTCCACACAACATAAGTACTGCTAAGATACCACACATTTACGCCGACATGTCAAATTCTAAAAAAGTTTGACATGGACATGATTAATATATAAATATAAACTTTCATTTGTATATCTCTTGATTACATGAATTATAAAACTTTAATTACATTTTAATTTTTATACTAAAGTTACATAAGTTAGAAGGTGACACTATTTGAATATAAAAGGGAATATATTATATTAGTATTCTATCTTGTCATTGTAGTTTAGTTTTTGTTCATATTACATAGTGTGACATTTTTTTTAATGTTAACTTTATAAAGAAAAACAAGCTGGACTTTTTGATATATGTTCATAATGTTATATTTAGGACTGTCATATGTTTGTTTTATATAAGACAAAGTGTGGGATATATTGTATGAGTGTCTAGAATGTGTTGACCAATGTCCGAGATTTGTCGCCAAGTGCTTGAGATGTGTCGATTAAGTATCCGAAATAATAAAAATGATTTTTAAATTATGGACACAATCATGAAGTATCAGAGACGTGTTTAAGAGTGTCAATGAAGTGTCAGTATCAAATACGGACACGGCACCTCATAGAAGTATGGTGTTTCTTAGTAGGTACATGTATCAGTATATGTGTAATGAGAGTTGTTCTAATGATCTTATCAATTGCAGCAATATTACATCCCTTCAGCACGAGAATTGGCCCGGTTAAATGGAGTATGCAAAGCTCAGGTTATACAACATTTTGCTGAAACATTGTCAGGATCAACTACCATTAGGAGCTTTGATCAGGAATCGAGATTTCAGGACACAAGTATGAAATTGATAGATGGGAATTCTAGGCCCAAGTTTCATAGTGCTGGTACAGTGGAGTGGCTATGCTTCCGTCTGGATATGTTGTCTTGTATTGTATTCGTCTTCTTTTTGGTTTTCTTGATCTCTATTCCAGAGGGAACAATTGATCCGAGTAAGTGGTTCTTGTTTGTCAACTTCATTGACTATTGTTTCTTGCTCCATGGCAAATGGTGTACAAGGACTGCATTTCTCACTCTTTTTTTTTTCTTCATAAATTAAAGGCATTGCGGGATTGGCAGTGACATACGGGCTTAATCTGAACATGTTACAAGTTTGGGTCATATGGGACATGTGCAATATGGAGAATAAAATTATATCAGTTGAAAGGATACTTCAATACACTTCTATCCCAAGTGAGCCGCCTCTCGTGATAGAAGCAAATAGGCCAGATCATAGTTGGCCATCAGATGGAGCAGTTGATATTCAAGATCTGCGGGTAGTTTCTACTTCCATGCTATTTGTTTATTTTTTCTGAATGCAAAATAGTTCCCCTATACTTTATGACTGTATATGTAATGGTTTTGGGCATGAATATAGGTTCGATATGCTCCTCATCTGCCACTTGTATTACGAGGCCTGACATGCACTTTACCTGGAGGAATGAAGACTGGAATAGTGGGGAGAACAGGCAGTGGTAAAACAACTCTCATACAGACATTCTTCCGCATTGTTGAACCAACAGTCGGGCAAATTTTGATAGACAGTATCAACATTTCCTCAATTGGACTGCATGATTTACGATCTAGATTGAGCATCATTCCTCAGGATCCTACCATGTTTGAGGGGACAGTACGAAGTAACCTGGATCCACTTGAAGAGTACACAGATGAACAAATTTGGGAGGTGAGTTTGGAAGTTCTTTTCTCGAATTGATTTAAGATACTCTGAAATGTAAACGTGTAGTTTGGACGGCTTAGTTAATTAACATGTATTTGAATTGCTTAGGCTCTTGACAAGTGCCAACTTGGAGATGAAGTCAGAAAGAAGGAAGGCAAGCTTGATTCAGCAGGTCTTCATCCACCATTATATATTAAAATTTTATGAAAATTTCTTAAATCCATATAACTGCGGATTCTTATTTCTAGTGTTCCTATGATGGTTGCAGTTAGCGAGAATGGAGAGAACTGGAGTATGGGTCAACGGCAGCTGGTCTGTCTAGGTCGTGTGCTACTCAAGAAAAGCAAGGTCCTGGTGCTTGATGAAGCTACTGCATCAGTTGATACTGCAACTGATAATCTGATTCAGGAGACCCTTAGGCAATACTTCACTGATTCCACCGTCATAACCATTGCACATCGAATAACATCTGTACTTGATAGTGACATGGTCCTACTTTTAAATAATGGTTTGTGTCTCCTCATTAGTCTCTCATTTATCTTTTAGACTATTTGCGTATAATCTTCTTGATTTTAACATTTTATTTCCTTGGGTGCAGGAGTTATTGAGGAGTACGATACTCCGACAAAGCTGCTGGATAACAAGTCATCTTCATTTGCAAAGCTCGTAGCAGAGTACAGTGCAAGGTCAAATTCTAATTTTGAATAATTCATGTATTTGCACGACGATGATGACAAAATTAGGCAGTGGTTACTATCTCAATTTTACTCTTATGGGCAGAATAGTTTCTATTATTTGGGTTGTTCAAGTGTTTTGAGATTAGAGAGACATGGAATACCAAAATCATAGGTGTAGTTAGTTCCTTGTAAAATGTTGTAGTGCAGTACCATATTAGAATCTAGTAATATATGATTCTGATAGTGTAATAAATTCGTGTATGTTTTGTTTACAACAAAACCAACTGTATTTGGACTTTATTTTTTATCTAGCAATACATTTGTACAACATATTTTCTTAAGCGTTTGTATGCGGAACAATACAATAACATTTTGTCACGAGTGGCCAAATGTGGGTAGAAAATAAGGAGTGACATGTCTTGATCCGTTTCAAGAGCAATTGTATGAGCTGACTTGAAAACAACAGTTATTGCTTGAGTTATACCTTTGGCAGTACATTTACACATGCTTTTAATTTTTCCTTGTGATTGCAAAACATTTCAAAGCTGCCCCTTTTTTTTTTTTTTTTTTTTAAATTGTTGCAATAAAAAACATCGCATAAGAAAACCAGGCTACAAACACACTCACAATCAGCAGTTCCACATGGCCTAGGCCTAGAGAGGAAAAGGTTTTGAGACTTGTATTCGTGGACACCTTTACTTGTGTACAGGGGCGGAGCCAGCATAGGCCCGGGGGGGCCATTCCCCGGGCCCATGTTGGCCTATTAGTTTTAATTACAAAATGGCCTATGATTTATAAAAAGTTTTCAAAATGCTCCCCTGAAATAAATTTTTTTTAAAAAATAGCCATTAATTTTTATTACACATAGGCCAATAATTTATAAAAAAGTGAAAAATGCCCCCTGAGATAATTATTTACCCTTGTGCTAATTGATTTTTATTATAAATAGGCCTATAATTTATAAAAATTTACAAAAATGCCCACTAAAATAATTATTTTTAAAAAATATATTTAATTTTTCCTTTCTTTTTATTCTTACTCCTCCTCCTCTTCTTCTTCTTCTTCTTTTTTATATTCTTCTTTTGTTTTTTCTTCTTTTTTTTTATATTTTTTTAAAAAAACAAAAAAGTTGCATTCCTGTATTCAAACTATTTTTTTTTTCTCTTCAAAATTTGGTAATTAAATTTGTTACTAAACGGACTCTTAAGATTGGTTTTTTATATTTTTTTTTTTAAAAAATAATTAAATTATTAAATACTATTATTCTACCGTTATTACAGTTCTATTTTTTAACTCAATGTTTACACTATTTGCTTGAAAAAAATATAATATGGCGCCCTCCTGAAGCAAATTCCTAGCTCCGCCCCTGCTTGTGTACAGTGTATACACATTATGAGAAAAACCGGGAGCACCTCTGTAACATATGGCAATCTAGAAAGTGCTCTCTTTTCATGGGTGTTTTTACAGAGGATCAAAAAATCTTGAGAATCAAAGATGAAATGAGGGCTATGAGAGAGAGAGAGACCTTGCCTGTATTAGTTATGTCCGCTCTTTCTTGAATTTCAAGGACTTTATTGCCATGCCAATCTCATAGGACGGCACATAAGCTGTGGTCACAAGGTAGAACGTTGGCTCTGCTCATACAGAACAGGGTGTTTGAGGGGTGTGCCGCGGACATCCATCCCGGGGTGAGGATCGGACGGGGATATTGCTCGATCATGCCACCGTTGTCGTCGGAGAGACGGCTGTCATAGGAGACAGTGTGTTAATTTTTCATAATGTGACATTGGGTGGGACTAGTAAGACGTGGGGATAGGCATCCAAAAATTGGTGCGGGTTCAGTGGTGTTTAAGAAAGTGCCATCAAGGACCACTGCAGTTGGGAACCCTGCTAGGTTGGTTGGAGGGAAGGTGAACCCTACTAGGCTTGATAAGATATGATATAGCACTTGTGCCATCATTAGTGTCAAGCGTGTGAGTGATGTGGACCATCAGTGTGATAACCGAATTTTTTTAGATTTTTATTATTATTATTATTATTATTATTATTTTGAGTTTATTGTAGTAGAGGTGGTGTAGCAGTTGTTATTTTATATAGTTTATATGTGTATGTATTGTATTTTTGATGGAGAAAAAAGAGAGCAGGTCGGCTAAATGAAAGAATAAAGAGACGATAGAATGGTGATAGTATTTGCGGGTTTACTTCATAATGATAATGGATTTAATTTTTATCATATATATTTATATATTTTGTCACATGAAAAAAGCTGGCAACATGTATACGAAATGTTGGGAAAGAAAAATGGGTTTTGTGAATTGTGGGTTTAGGAAGATATTATGGGTTTGATTTAAGTTTTTATTTATATATATGTTATATATATATATATTATATCTTGCTTGTTGGAGATAAAAGAAAGCACCTGACCGAAATGCTGAGGGAAAAAAGGCAGGTTGAATTGTGACGACGGTGGTTGTGACTTGCGGGGCCCACTGAACACTTTTTGGGTCAAATTTTTATAACTTTGAATTTCCTTCACGTGGGTTTGGTCTTTTTGTTTTGTGTGTATGTCAGAAAGTGAAGATATGATAAGGATGGAATGTGGTGGGTTTGGCCTTTTTGTTTTGTGTGTATGTCAGAAAGTGAATATATGATATGGATGGAATGTGATATTGTCTGATATTTTTTTTTTTTTGAGAGTGTGGTGAGCAGTATTGATGTGTGTATGGAGTTGATGGGTTGAGTCGGTGGATTGCCTTATATATTTGAGTGTTGCGTGCACTGATAAAATACAAAGACACAGAAAGAAAGTAAGAGAAAAAAATTAAAGAAGATAGGAGAGAGCCGAGACAGAGAGAGAGAGAAACAGAGGAGTCGAGAGTTGCAGAGAAGCCGGAGCTTGAGATTTTGACGATTCAGTGCGGAAATATATCTTATTCAGTGTAGGGTTTTCTATACCTTGAATGGCATGGGTGGTTTTGATTAAATGTTTTTATTAAATGTATATTTATTTTGTTTATATACTCACATAAATATATATGTTTTGTGAAGTTATTTGTTAAATTTTTATGAAATTCTTGTTATGATTTTTTCTAGTGGGACTTTTTATCTTATTACCCTCCAGTTTCAGGTACCGAAGATGAACAGAAATCGCTAGTTTTGGGCTTAGGCTGAAGAGTTGGTGTTACAAGATTTATTTTATTTATTTGGAAATTTTTTTGTGTATTTGAGAAAATTAATTTTGTATAAAAAAAGGATATTTTTTGTAATCTTGAGTATATTTTGATGTATTTGAATTTTAATAAATTGAAAATTTTATTAGAAAAATTTGAGGTTGTGACAATCAGATGCAATATCTGTACTACAGAGAATTCAGACTATGTTTAGAGACCCATTCACAACTTTGTACCTTCTTTAGTTTATTGTAATTTGGGCAAGTTGTTCATTGTCTGTTGTAAATGCTAAGGAAGCTCTATGATCTTGGAATTTTGTGGTTTTACTATTTAAACATGTTGCCAAGATCATAATTTTATTATAGGTGTGAAATAAATACATACTTTTTTTGTTGTTTGGCAGAACTCATAGCAGCTTTTTTGGGGTTGATAGCAATAGGTTCTTATTTAGGCTAACATCATTATATTTTTAGGTAACCCCAATCCATGAAATTAAGCTTATTTAATTTATTTTTAAACAGTTAGGTAATTTATCTCTTCAACTAAAAATTACACCGTAAACCGATACTGAAAATAAGACCTACAACTTCAAACTGATACTTTTCTTTTAGCTTCTAAGGTTTGGGGCGCTAGTATGTCCAGGGCCCCAGGCTGAACTTTTGTAAACTTTACTTTAGTACAATTAAATTTATAATATAAAATGGATGGACTAACAATGACAGTGACACAACGCTCTGTACATCGCTACAACCTCCACTTTAACATATGGTTGGTTGATGGATAGATAATTTTCATCAAGTCATTCAGCAGTTTCACCAAATGTTTTCTCCATTTTACCCCAATAAACAATTATATCCCCAATTTGTTACGTTCTTGCACAGCACACTAGCCAGAACAAAGAGAAGGTGGAAAATTTATTGAAACTTGATGTCAAAAGGAAAACGATAACAACGTCTTATTTGCAGAGGTACCTTTCGCAAGAACAGATACCTTTTTTGTTTTTTTTTTTTGGTCAAAATGGTCCATGATGGTCTGTGACCACCACATCCCACTATATTTTGAATTTGGATTGAACTTAGAGGGTGAAATTGTCAGGGTGCATGTCATTTTTGAACTGTACTTAAGGGCCTGTTTGGAGTTTGGAGTTTGTAGTGTAATGTAGTGTAGTGTTCTAGCCTAGAGCAGAATAAGTGTTGTGTGGTATAGTGTTCTGAAAGGAGAACAAAACATGTTTGGCGACAAAAATTTGTTCTGAGAATTTTGAAATAGAAATTATTATAATTTTTTTTAATGATTAAAATAAATTAATTACTTCACTTGATTAGTTTGCAAAATAAGAATTACAGAGCTTGATTAGTTGATTTAGAAAAAAAAATTAAAACAAAAACCATACACCACACAAAATTGCAGTTGCAGAGACAGAGAGAGACTAGGGCAATTGGGAGGTTGAAATGATTTGCCCTAAAAATGGATTTGCAGAGTTGAGAACAAGAATAGAGATGGAGGCGTTTGGGAGGCTGAAATGATTTTGCCCTAAAAAAAGGGGGAAGTCTAGCGTTGATCATTAATTAGTCAAAGAAACCCTAGAGTTGGCTTCATCTTCAAAAAAATTTCGTATCAGAGAACAAAAATGGCAACCGTCTCCTCTGCCTCTCCTTGCTCCTTCCCCCACCAATTGCAACCATTTTGTCCTAGGTCGAAAAGCCAAACGCGACGCTTTCTTCTTTCTCACCGAAACCACCATCTACCTCCTCCAACCGCCCAATCAACAAAACCCCAAATCAAACACTCCAATTTCCATTCCCTGTTTGGTTAGGGTTGAAGAGATTGAAAATGGCAAAAATCGTGCCCTACATCCCGTCTCTCAAAGGAAAATGCCCAAAAAGGTTTTCGAAATAACTCAATTTGCTACATATGGTGTTGGGTACCAAAAGTTTGCAGTTGCAGAAAGAGATCGAAAGAGAGACTAGGGCAAGTTCAGAGTTGAGAATCCAGATCCGGCCACAGGCTGTGAGGATCCAGTGGAGACGATTGGTTCGGCGCTGGCGAAAAGGGAGAGAGAGAATAGAGATGAAGGCGTTTGGGAGGCTGAATGATTTGCCCTAAAAAAAAAATTAAAACAAAACCCCTACAGGTTTGCAATTGGAGAGAGAGAGAGAGAGAGAGAGAGAAAGAGAGAGACTGGCAAGTTCAGAGTTGAGACGAGAATAGAGATGGAGGCGGAACACTTGGAACAAGTTTTTTTTGTTCCAACATTTGGCCCAAACACTGCAAAGTGTTTTGATACTGTTCAAACCAGCACAACCTATGCGGCCCTTACGGACCCAAAATGTGGCACCAAACTGGAGGTATAGGGCTACCCCCACCATACACCAGGTGAGTCGAGAGAATCTTAGCAGGGGGAAGGCTCGAACCTGGGCCGAGTGATGACCCAAGCCAACACCTTACCATCACTGTTAGGCCCCCGGGGGCCTATGCCAAACATGTTTTGTTCCTCAATAGTGCTACTGTAGCACTGTTGGGAACAAAACAGAATAGCACAGAACATCCACCAAACATGTCCTAAATTTTTTAAATTTATAGGGTCGTGTTTGATAATATCGATTTCAATAATTTTTCATAACCTAGAAAAATATAAAAATTTACTATTTTATAAAAATATAAAAATTATTACTTTTTGTGGTCTCATTTTTCCCATTCTTCACTCCCTCCGGTCAGCTTAGTCTTGAGCACCACGTAAAACCGCTCAAGATTCCCACCTTCGACTCTCTCTCTCTCTCTCTCTCTCTCTCTCTCCACGCTCCTAATCATAATACACACATGACACACCTAGTATAAGATATTCTTACACTACTCTCTAACTCACAAAAATGGAAATTATTGAAGCATCAAAGCAGGGTATGTCGGCTTTCTTCTCTCACTCATATTCATTAATGCACACAGACACAGTATCTGATTTCCTGCTCAGACCCTTCTTCGTACGCTGGTTTTGTATTTCTTTACATCTAATTTTGTTGTTTGTTCTATCAATTTCTTGGGTTTGCAAGAGTTTTAGAATGGGTAGAAATGAGGGCCCAAAAGGAAGTTTTAATAATACTAGGTTTCTGTATTACAAACACACTATGTTTTGTTGTTTGGGTCTGTCTCTTTTTAATCTTGTTCTGTGTTTATTCACATGTTTTTATTGGTATAAAAATGTTTGGTCTGAGGAAAAGATTGTAACCCTTCTGGATTTAACATTCAGAACTCTTGCTTGGTTATCAGTCTCTGTTTACTTGCACACCCAATTCTTTAAATCAGGTGAATCCAAGTTCCCATTTCTATTAAGACTTTGGTGGGGTTCTTACTTTTCAATCTCTTGTATTTGCCTCGTTATAGACTATGTTAATTACAAAAATCATGACTCTTTGCCAGTTCAATTCCTGGTCTCCGATGTTATTTCCGTCCTTTCGGGGTTATTCTTCTGTTTTGTGGGTGTTTTTGGTAAGAAAGAGGGTGAAGATACTCTTCTTCAAGAACCCCTTTTGAATGGTGGTACTAATTTGAGAAATGGTACAGTCTCTAATAAGTCCAATGGGGATGAAACTGTAACCCCTTATTTTAATGCTAGTATTTTTAGTATTGTTACTTTCTCCTGGATTGGTCCTTTGATTGCCATTGGTAGGAAGAAAACATTAGACCTCGAGGATGTGCCTCAGCTTGCTGGTGTTGATAGTGTCAAAGAGGCCTTTCCGATTTTGAAAAATAATCTAGAGTCTAGTGGTAGTAATACTGGAGTCACCACGCTTAAGCTGGCCAAAGCATTGATTTTCACGGTATGGAGGGAAGTTCTATTAACAGCTTTCTTTGCGCTGCTGTACATGCTGGCTTCATATGTCGGTCCATACCTCATTGACACCTTTGTTCAATACCTTAATGGAAGTCGAGCCTTCAAAAATGAAAGCTACATTTTGGTTTCTGCATTCTTCGTTGCAAAGCTTGTCGAATGCTTGGCGAGGAGGCAATGGGTCTTTAGGTTGCAGCAGGCTGGAATTAGGGCCAGGGCAGCACTGATAGCCATGATCTACAATAAGGGTTTGACCCTATCATGCCAATCAAAGCAGGACCATACTATTGGGGAGATCATCAATTTCGTGACGGTTGATGCTGAGAGGATTGGTGACTTTGGTTGGCGCATGCATGATCCCTGGTTGGTGTTCTTGCAAGTTTCTCTGGCATTGGGAATCTTGTATAAAAATCTTGGGCTCGCTTCAATTGCTGCCTTTGTCTCTACTGTAATCGTGATGTTAGTGAATATTCCACTAGGAAGCTAACAGGAGAAGTTCCAGACTATGTTGATGGCATCTAAAGATAGAAGAATGAAGTCAACCTCTGAAATCTTGAGGAACATGAGAATCCTCAAGCTTCAAGGGTGGGAGATGAAGTTCTTGTCCACAATTGTCAAGCTCCGAAATATTGAGGCTGGATGGTTGAGAGGATATGTATACACTGTAGCGATAATCACTTTTGTCTTCTGGGTTGCCCCTACATTTGTATCTGTGGTCACTTTTGGTGCTTGTATGCTTATGGAGATCCCACTTGAATCGGGGAAGATACTATCTGCACTTGCAACATTTAGAATACTTCAAGAGCCTATTTATAATCTTCCTGACACAATCTCCATGATAGCTCAGGCTAAAGTTTCCCTAGACCGGATTGCCTCATTCCTTTGCCTCGAGGACATGCAACCTGATGTAATAGAAAAGCTTCCGAGAGGTAGTTCTGACACAGCATTTGAAATAGTTGACGGCAATTTCTCTTGGTATGCATCTTCCCTAAATCCAACACTGAAAGATATAAATTTAAGAGTGTCTCATGGCATGAGAGTTGCTGTTTGTGGTACTGTTGGGTCTGGCAAGTCGAGCTTACTGTCATGTATTCTGGGAGAAGTGCCCAAAATATCAGGGAGCCTGAAGCTCAGTGGGACAAAGTCCTATGTTGCTCAGTCACCCTGGATACAGAGTGGAAAGATAGAAGATAGTATACTGTTTGGTAAGGAGATGGATAGGGAAAAGTATGAGCAGGTTCTCGATGCATGTTCTTTGAAAAAGGACCTGGAAATTCTATCCTTTGGTGATCAGACGGTTATAGGTGAGAGGGGAATAAATTTAAGTGGCGGACAGAAGCAGAGAATACAGATTGCGCGTGCTTTGTACCAAGATACTGATATTTATCTATTTGATGATCCATTTAGTGCTGTGGATGCTGATACAGGGACTCATCTTTTTAAGGTGACTGTTCTCTTACATTTCCACTGTGAAATAGTTCTCTGTTTGAGCAACATGTTTTCACATCTTTGTAGAAGAAATTCATTGATTTTGTTGTCACAACATTAATTCAGTAAAAACTTATTTTCCGGGGAAAAA